TTTCCAAAATAGACCACAGAGTTCCCCTTTGTGAGCTTTAACTACACCGTTTCATTATTTATCACGCACTGGCAGTGTCTAATTTATTAGACTGTTGCTTGCTGAATATTTTATTGTACGTGCATTCTGAGCAAATAAAATTCCTCTGAAAACAAAGTTGAGTAAAACAGCATTGTACACCAGAGCGGTGGTTAAAAAGTATTTCATCTGCCTATCACATAACTGATATGAAATGTAATTTTCAGAAAATTCTCCTTTTTATAAATCAGATTAAAGGTCTTTCAGCTCCACGTACAGGTTTGTCTAGTACAGTCAGATCTCTCCTTCTTAGAACAGTTGCAGAATTTCAGATAAATTAGGTATAATATCAGAGCAAGGCAGACTTCCATCAATGGTAAATACTTGCAAAGTCCAAGCTAAGTAGGTTTGAGATAAACCGGTTTTAAACTAGCATTTTTACATGGCTGTTGTGACAATGCAAGGCAGTTAGTCTATGCCAACAAAGAATTTGCCAACTGGCTGGAAAGAAAGCTTTCCAAATATCTGAATGACAGCTTACAATTCCAAACACACCAAAGGGTCCCATCTTGCTTGTAAACCTTTCTTGTGCAACAAAGTATTACAGTATATTCCATTTATAAACTCATGGAAAACTTCTGTTATTTCAGACTCAGATTATTAGGACTGTACAGATACTTTCCTAGTTTATTTTTAAAGCAGTGACTGAACAGTCACATCCTCTTGTAATTTCTATAGTTTTTGCACTACCATTTCAGTTTTTAAACAACCAGATTTACATTTGCACACTGTAAGTATTTTATTTTATAATAATATACTACAGGATAATTATACTCACAGGTATCCTTTCAGAAAGGAGAATGTCATTTGACTGAAAAAAAACAAGAAAAAGGATTCCAAACCTACTATCAGTTCTAATGTCAGTACAAGCAATTTCCAAAACATTTTGCATTTTATATAAGCATAGTTGTATCTTGTTTGTACGTACTCTGAACACCACAACTATCCAAGATGGGAGTTTATGAAAAATTGGCCTAATCATAGTTTCTCCTCCTTGTTGCCTCTCTCACATACTTTCTCAAATAGCCTTGAGCAGTCTCCAAAGCCTAGAAAATTTGCTGCTTATATTTAGAGTAGGAACCAAACTTTTAGATTTACAAATTCTAGTTTAACTCAATACTGAGAAAGACCCAATCATCTGTATCAAGAGTTCTTAACTGGGTCTAATTCAAATACAGGACTGAAAACCCATACGCGCAATTAATTTCTACAAGCTTTTTGAAAAGCAGTGGATAAGATGCTTTTTGATTTGCTGACTTTATAAAACAGACAGATACTACTTGCTTTGTATAATTTCAATCACTCAGTGGAATAATTTTCTCCCTTTTTGAATGATTACAATTTTCATCTATTGTTTTGTTTAAAAAGTTGAATCGTTCTTCCTTTCTAGTAGAGTATTTGATAATGAGATTAAATTATGTTTCACATTTGGCACAAACCTCCCCTCCAGCTTTTGGAGATTACTTTATTTAACTGTGGTTTTTTGCTGTTGGAATATCAGTTACACTTCAGTAAGTAAATGCACGTGGGCCAAGCATATCATTAACTGAACTGACTGAAGATCAGAAAAGTAAGTACTAGGTCTAATATTGCTTGTACGCCACTAATGGGTACATTATAGATTGAAATATTTAATTTGATCCATTAGTTGTTTTGTTGTTATCAATATCACAGTCAGTAATATGAATCTATTAAAAAAAATGAATTCAAAATCCATTAGCTTTTAAGGCACTGTTCAAATGAAAGCAGTGTGTTATAACAACTGAAACAATATAAAGTGAGAATGAGAGACCATTTCCTAATTTTGATGAATATGCATTCCAGCTTTAATCATCTCCCAGACAAGATTTGTCTGTTTCTCAAAATAAGTATTAATAATACAGATGTATATTTAGGGTTTTCTTTATTTTATTCCACTCCTCAGTAGATGTTGACATGCAAGCAAATCTTTAAAACTTTTATTGCATTTCCTTTCATTAAAATAGACTGACTGCAAAAGAGCAGTCCAAATACCATGTACACTGGAATAATCATGAGTTTACTACTGTCACCAAAAGAATAATCTCTAAAGTAGGGCTTAAAGCAAGTCAAAGGCATAATAGAAATACAGAGTTTAAAAAATAATATAAAGAAATGTAATCAGTTGTAACTTTGTGGTGAAAGGAAGGCAGTAACTTTTTTCTTGTATAAGATTAAGAAGATAAAAAGAAATACATTTTTATACAGTGTAAAATTTCCCTGAGAGAACTACTGCTCACTACACAAAAGAAGTGAACCAAAACCCACACAGCTTCAGGAAGTACTGACATTTTACAATAGGAATCAGAACATTTAAAGTAACTCCAGAGACACTTGCACTAATCTTAATAAGGTGTACAAAGTATAGTTTACCCACAAACTGGACTGGCAGAAAGACTCCTTCATGGGCCAGATGGCAAGTGTTTAACATGGTGTTGACTGACATCACTGGGCTGTTCTAAGTCTGGATGCAAAATTTAATGCTTTATGTTTTGCAGGTGCTAATGGAAGAGTACAACAACATCTACTATTGAAAATATGCTATTTCATTGTTGTCAGCTTAGTGTTACTTCTATTTCCCGAAGATACATGTGACTTGTTCGTTATGAGAGCAGAGATGGGACATGAAACTGGACCCACTAGTTGAATGTATGTTCTGAACACAGTTTGTAAAATAACTGATCACAGTAATTGCTCCTGCAAAATGTGAGAGGACTTGAAGTATTTTCTTGTTAATTTATTACCATTACCCTATTCTTACAATCCATCCTGACGTTATTACAGATCTTGCAATAGTATTTTCTTAATGCTTCAATTACTATAGATGAATTTACTAAGTTATGATCTCAGTTTGCCTTTAAAGGTTTCCAACTTGTTACGAAAGGAGAGCTCACTTAAATAGTCATGGTCACCTAGAACAAGTGTCCTGTGTCCTTGTGGATTTGTACTCCAGTGCTCATAGAAGCTTTTTCTTTGTTAAGGCATTTTTAAGGTCTCCCTTTTGCATGAATTCTCTGGCCTTCATAAAATGTGAACTCACACTGCAATGCTTTCTTCACTTGAGGCATACAGAGCTGCCTGTTTCCATGAAAGAAAACTGTAGAAACTCAGTTGTCTTTGAGACCGTTATTTTTTCACTGCAGTTGGTACAAAGCCAGTGATAGCACAAGAGGGAACTCTTCCAGTCTTTTGCATCCCATAGTTAGAAGAGAGATTAAATCAAGAGTGGAGGCAAGACCAATTTGCCAAGCTGAGAAGAGGAATCCAAGAAGCCATGGCATACCTGAGTCCAGCTGGTAGGGCACAATTATGATTAGAGAGCCACTAAGGAGCTCAAACTGCCAGGCAAACTCTGTGATGGGAAGCAGGCGAGTTTGGGCAAGTTCAGGCAGATGGTTGGGAGAAGGACATGGGAAACAGGAGAAAGGAAGCAGGACTAACAGATCAGCAATCAACGGGTGTACTAAATAGCCAGCAGCAACAGGTGTCCTTTACTCATATATCATGTGGGCAGGGCAACCGTGAGTCAGAGTTACAGACACTTACAGTATGTAGCTTCCTGGGTGGCAGATGGCTTGTCTGGGTGTAGCCTGGCAGCAGCTGATGAAGACAAGAGTTACTGTGGGAGAAACATGCACACACAGCATAAGCTTTTTCTTCCAAGCTAAGAAACAATGTCTATTTTTATTAGTAGTAGTATTATTATTTTAAAATAAATTATATTTTTATGATTTTGGATGGCTGACTCATTTTCAAATGCTTTGGATTGGTACATGTCTCATACAACAGCTGTGGCCATAATTCTTAGCTTTTTTTACGAGCGCACGAAGGTGATCATGTTGATACTAGCACAAGAGTGAAAATACCCGGTCTTTGCAAACTTTTGCAACTCTTCTTTGCAACTCAAACTTCGTATGGTCACCTACTTTCTTTTCGCTTTCATTTCTTCACTATCTGTGTAGAGGAATTTCTGAAGCCAACCCCCCCTGCAGTTTATGAATGGAGCATTTCTTCATTTACCAAGTTGGGAGGACAGCACACTTGCCACAGAACTACCTGATCCCTCACACTTTTTGGGAAATCTACCTTTACCCTGCTTGTCTTTTTATACCAAGGACCTTGTTCTTCAGTCGCTACCTTCCTTCCCAGTGCTTCCCTCCACTGTAAATAGTTTTATATTTAAATACCTTCAGATTAGATTCCAAAGTACCGTAAACCCAAACTTACCACAAACGCCCCTAAACGTTTCAGCTTCAGGGCCCAGAATCTCTCAAAATATGGTAAAATTATTTTACATATGAAGATCCTCATTCCTGCCAAGTCATGCTCGTTTTGACCTTCAGTTATTTGTCTTGGGCTCTTTACCCGGGAAGACTTTTTTTTTTTTTTTTTCCCAGTATATACGAGCACCCGAACCACACCCGGTACATTGTTGAAAGCACTTCTGATAGGGATACATCATCCACAAACTTACGTGTCGGGTGTCATCTTTGCACCAGCCTCCCGAGGTTCTGGTCTCGAATCAAAGTTTTCTGCATTAAAGCGCTTTTTGGGGAGGAGTTTTGAAATGAGCGCTTGCGAAGGCGGCACTCATGAGGCGCCCCGCGCCGGCCACCCCGCAGCTGAGGAGGCCAGCTGAGGCAGGCTGAGGTGGGCCGGGGCCGGGCTAAGCTGAGGCGGCGCGCCCCGGGTAGCTCCCTCCCACGCCGGCGAGGAGGCATGTGACAGCGCGACTTCTGTCTTGAAGCCGCCGAAGGGGAAGGAAGGGGCCGGCGCGGCGCGGGGGACGAAGCCTTCCCCTCGGATCCTCTAGCTCCCGCTGAGGCCGCGGCCCCGAGGCGGGGAGGCGCCGTCCCTGTCCCTGCCCCCGCCAGTCCCGTCACCGCAGGTGCAGCCGCGGGACGAGCGGCGCCGGACAGTGCCCGAAACGGCTGCCGCCTCCCGAGAGGAACAACGCCCGCCGCCCCGAGCGGGAGTCTCCTCAGCAAGGTACGGACAGGGCGCGCGCCCCACCCCGCCCCGTCAGGGCGACCGTTAACGGCCCCCCGCGCC